ATTTACTATTTCTCAATTCACCACTGAATGTCATATCCTAAGTTGTATATTAATTTTTAATCGTGAATGAGTCAATGTTAGACCACAATTAGAAACCGGGAAGTATTAGATGGCAGTTTCGTCCTGGTATGGCACTTATCAGATAGAAGTACGCATCCACAACTCCTGCACCTCGTAGCATTCAAACATTGATCGATTCATGCATTTGAAATGTGTAACTTAACAATCTTCACAACTTCGTAATTAATTTCTAAGTCATTTTGATCATGAATAATTGTCATCTCTTTTAATTACTATAATGAAGATGTAGTAGGATCACAGAAGGATTTGACAAACATGACATTGTTCACTAGCCAATAATCTATCAATTGTAAATACACTTCAGTATTACAGAAGGTCAGTCACTGCACGGATATCTCAAATGATAATGTTTCTGACTGTGAATCTCAATAACACACAATCGACTTCACTAGTGAGCATCAATTTCTTGAAGAATACGGATACACCTTGCTAATTAGTTAAATTTAGCAAATAAACTAGGTCTAGGGTTTTCTGTCGACCAACTCTAACAAAAATGCACAACTTTAGGGAGAAATGTCAACCAACAGACTTGAATTCATTGATTAAAAATGTAACAGGCTTTCTGTGACAACTGGAGGGGTTTTAGACTAAAATCCTTTGTAAGGTTGTACGTCTGACGTTTTGAAAAATTTTAGATTAGGATAAAGTGGCTGGCTTTCTATGCTTCTTTCAGTTATGTCAGATAGTATTAAAAATTAACTTTAAATATTTTTTATTTGCATCAGGACATTTTTTTCAGAAGTACTTGTCCTCAGTAACATTCAGAAATCAGTTAAATTCCTTCATAATTTTTAGCGATCATGTTGTTTTACAATCCTGGAAAGAATTTCTGCATAAGTAGAAATAATAAGACGTTGTTTCGAAGATCAATGAGTTTATCTTATCATCACTGAGAGGAATTGACATTAAACCATGATCATTAGTCCATTAATATTTCTAGTACAGAAATAATGATAACAGTTTGAATAGGTTTAACTCTTTAAGCTCTGTTTCTGTTTTATATTTGTTCTGGGTGCTTTCAAAGAATTCAGCGAATCATGTGTGCGAATTGTGTTTGATAGATGCGAACTTATCAGACTATTCAATGGAAAGTTTGTTGGATGTATTATACAAAGCGGTTATTCATGTTCACAATAACGGTGAGTGTTGTTCAAGAAAAACTGTTGGTTGTAAAGAATAAGAACTATTTCTTCATGAACAAGCGTTATATATGTTTTCAACTACTCTACTTTACGATTTTCCAATTAGAGTTATGGAGATTAGTGTTTTTCGCGCATGGAAATCATCAACCAGTCATTGTTAGACCATCATTAGAAACCTGGAAGCACTGGATAGCCGTTTTATCCCGGTATGTGTCCCATCAACAGTGTGCATCCACAACTCCTGAACCTCGCAGTATTCGAACCCTGGACCTCCGGTCTTGCGCGCAAACGCCTAAACACTGGGCCTTTGCAGCGGCATCTAACGGCGTCAATGTTTAACTCTGATCAATCTACTGATTTTGCTTGATCAGAGTTAGACATTAACACCTTTGGGTGCCACTTCAGTAGTCCAGAGGTTTGGCATTCCAGCTCAAGAAAGAAGGTCCTGGGTTCGAATCCTTCGGGTAGCGGAAGTCGCGGATGCGCACTGCGGATGATCCCCATACCAAGACAAAACGGCTATCCAGTGTTTCCAGGTTTCTAATGGTGGTCTAACAATGACTAACTCATGATTTCAGGAATAAATAAAAAAGTACTAGATCAGTGGAAAAGTTAATGTAAGTAGTGAAAATAAGTTGAAGGAACTTAGTTTTCACTTGTGAATGATTTGAACGGTACAAGTTCAGTTTAAAACAAGAGTTCATAGGTTTCATTATACAACAAATAGCTGTATATTCATGTACATATACGTGTATATATCAGATTTGTATCTATTAATCATGAAACGATGTATCGTATGGCAAAATAATTATGCACTTATGTTCAAAGTTGAAGTTTATTATCCTGGTTATCGCGTCTTCATTATATAGCACTAAGTATAGCAATAAGTATTCTAAAGAGAAAAATATCAATAAAAATTTTAGAATACAAGTTGGATAATTTTTACTGAATAAGAGTGAAGTAAGACAAATCGTCTAATTATTATAAATAACGATTTTGCCATTCAAGTGATAAGTTCGTCACTTAGTATGCTTGAGGCTATTACGAGTTTACCTTAGTCGATAAACGCGAACGAGACTTTTACCAGCTTCCAGGGAGGCTACCTTGAATACCCAAAATCGGAATAGAAGGCTTTGTAAGCGTAGAAAGTATATTCTACAAACACCCAGCAATCACAGTACAATCAAGCATACAACTCTCGTTTATTTATACAACATAAGAAACGTCCTTGAGACAGTTAAGAAAATAGCATGCTAAAGATACACTGCAGCCAATCACAGCCATTGATTTTGCTGGTGGGAATTGAAATCTCAAGGTCATCTGATCCCATATTTCCAAAAGCACCGTCGCCACTGATAAGTTCGTCACTTAGTATGCTTGAGGCTATTACGAGTTTTACCTTAGTCGATAAACGCGAACGAGACTTTTACCAGCTTCCAGGGAGGCTACCTTGAATACCCAAAATAGCAGGCTTTGTAAGCGTAGAAAGTATATTCTACAAACACCCAGCAATCACAGTACAATCAAGCATACAACTCTCGTTTATTTATACAACATAGAAACGTCCTTGAGACAGTTAAGAAAATAGCATACTAAAATACACTGCAGCCAATCACAGCCATTGATTTTGCTGGTGGGAATTGAAATCTCAAGGTCATCTGATCAGCCCATGCTGGCGAAACGTGAAAACCAAAATACGGCATTATCAAGCGAATTTTGGGGATATAACATCCCCAACATCAAGTAAGTTAAGATATAAAGACAGTTTACATCTAAGGCTAATATTAATTTTTAAGAAATGAAAAACTGTTGCGTAGTTGTTTCATCTTTGTACAGAGATCCACTAAAGTGAGTAACTATTACACCAATCGCCGTAACGTGTTCCTTGGAATTCCTCTTTTCCTTCGGCCTTGAGGGTTCCATGTGAGGGTTTGTCTTGTGGCGCAGTTCGGTGCTTTACGTAGTGTGTGTCCTATCCACTTCCACCGCTTCTTCCTGATTTCCTCCTCCACTGGAATCTGGTTTGTTATCTCCCAAAGTAGGTTGTTACTGATAGTGTCTAGACAATGAATCCGAAGTACTTTGTGCAGACAAGTGTTTACAAATACTTGTATCTTCTGGATGATGGCTTTCTTGTTTCTCCAAGTGTTTGCTCCATACTGTAGACTTGTCTTGACATTTGTATTGAAAATCCTGATTTTAGTTTTGGTTGAAAGTTGTTTGGAGTTCGAGATATTTTTCAACTGTAGAAATGCAGCCCTTGCTTTGCCGATCCGTGCCCTCACATCTGCATTGGATTCACCTTGATTGTCGATGATGCTGCTCAGATATGTAAAGGTGTTAACGTCCTCCAAGGCATATCCATCAAGAGTGATTCGGTTAACGCATGTTGTGTTGTATTCTAGAATATTACTTTTCCATTTATGTATGTTGAGACCTACTGCTGCAGAGGCTGCTGCTACACTGGTGTTCTTCTCTTGCATTTATTGTTGCGTGTGCGATAGAAGATCCAGGTCATCTGCGAAGTCCAGATCGTCCAGCTGCGTCCTAACTGTCCAGTTTATACCATGCTTCCCCTCAGATGCTGACGTCTTCACAATCCATTCGATCAACAAGAGAAAGAGAAAGGTTGAGAGTTAGCAACCTTGCCGGATACCGGTCTTCACCTCAAACGAGTCTGTCAGCTGACCTCCGTGCACAAGTTTTCAGTTTAATCAATCATGAGAATTCCGTATGATGTTGAATATCTTCTCAGGCACACTGTGGTGTCAAAGAAGCCTCCATAATGTTTTCATGTCCAGGAAAACACTCCGCCAGTAGAACCTTCGGGGCTACTGCCGGTCCCAAACCCGGATAAAGGAGGAGGGGTTGGCGTCCCTATCCCAACTACAAACTAACTTGCCAAAAAATGCTAACCAGAAAATAAAAAGTAAGAAATAAATCAAAATAAGTCTGCAACATAACACGTTCAATGTACATTTCAGTGATCATTGAGTTTCATCATTGATAACTTCTTGCTCGAACTCCCGAATGTGGTCACTATTTTAAGCAGAATAATTTTCTAACTGGTTAGTTCATGGAAATTAGTTCAGTTTGAGATTTGATTTCATTACAGGCTGAATAATTTTTAGGTACACTCTTCTACAATATCTCAAACGACAGTGAAATAACTGTTTAGTCCTTTTTAATTCAAAATAATTCTTTAACTGTTGTTTACAAGCAAATAGGCAATTACGAATTTAAAAATATTTAACAAATATGTCATCGAACTTAAGCAAACTTAAAAAAAAATCACTTCCAGTTTCTCAAATGTAAAACTTTTATTCATAAACTTTAGTTGTTTGTACAAACAATTTGGTAGAAATTAGTTTCATTTAAGAAAAACTTTTCCCAAAACTATCAATTGAATTTTGAACAACAATTGAAACATTGAAGAAAGAATTCACACAAATAATTTTCGAAAAATAAACAACCAAATAATTATTTTTAATATTTATTTCCGGTAATTACTTTGTGTTAGATATGATGTTAATTATTTTAGCAATTAGAAATGTTTGTTTAAATGGTAACATTATTTACGTTTACAAAATAATTTTGATTGTTATGTTGTAGTTCAAATCATGGCAGAAAAGCATTCTATATTCTAATTGCATTTTTAACTTGAAAAATGTGACCTTGTTGATCAGATGCAACGAGCATTCTGTTTTAAACTAATTGGCAGGTTAATCTGCATACATATATATGTATATATATATATATATACCCATAGCTGATAAGGATTCTTTATTAAAATCAAACAAACATTTCACAAAAGAACAGGATGAAAGCAACAATCTTGTTTATTACAATTATTTTCACATTCATGTGGGAGAATAGTTATGGAAAAGGTTAGATATTTGAAAAATTGTTATGTGGAGTTTTGTTTTGTTGTTTTAAGTTGGTTAATTGAAAGTGAATTTATTTTTTTTCATGGAAGGGTGATTGTTATTATCATGGATTTAGGTTATGTGCCAACTGGCACTCATCAGTAGAATATGCCTGTATGCTTGAGGAAATTTATACTCCTGAGTGGATTTAATCCTATGTCACTTGAGTTTTGCAGTTAGAGATAGTACTATTGAGTTATCGTGGTTACGACTAACCAGCCACCTGTAGAATTAAGATGTATTTGTAAATTGACTGGTTGAAATTCAATGAACACTAAGAAAGACTTGACGTGAATGATAATGATCATTATTTAGTGGTCAGTTAACTGCTAAACATCCTGTTCTACCTGCGGTCGATTCGTGTTAGAGAATTCTAAACTATGTAAGAGTGAATTACATTCTTAAACAGAAAAAATGTAGTCATGTTAATGAATGGTATACATTCTTTTCTAAAATTAATTATATTTATAAATGGGATAATTTATTTGTAGACAGAGGAATAGGAATTGAGTGCAGTTTGTAAGCTGTCAAATATTTCACACTAAAATTAGAATGTCCGTCAAGTTTTGGTAAAATCGGTTGTTAGTTTTTGAATCATGAACTTTCTATATTTTTATTTCTGTAACGAGTAGTTTATACTGAAAGTTTCAAAGTCAGAATTAAAGTGTTTTCAGTTACCTCTCTCTCTATTCCTTTCAATAAAAATCAATTTGAAGTCATCAGTCAATCATTGTTAGACCACCATTAGAAACTTGGAAGCACTGAAAGACGGCCGTTTCGTCCTAGTATGGGACTCATCAGCAGTGCGCATTCCATACCAGGATGAAACGGCCGTCTAGTGCTTTCTAATGGTGTGGTATAACAATGATTGATTGATTGATGATTTAGCATGTGCAAAAACACTAATCTCCATAACTCTAATTGGAAAAAAAATTATTTTCCAGTAATTAATCTAACCTATTCAAAAATATCATATGTAGAAATGATGTATGTAGTTTTATGCCAAAATTACACAAATATTGAAGAGAAAAGGATGAAAATTTGGTAGATAAATAAGCAATAGAAATAAGAATACAACAACATTCTAAGAGACTTGAGGAAATGGTCTGAGATATGTTCATCAATCAGTAATATTTCAATGTAGCATTGAATTACAATACTCTGATTCACGGTGAAATAGTGTTCTAACTAACTGTTCTCTTTAAATAGACTAATCAGGTATACAAGCCTAGCTAATAGTTAGTCTATCGCTGATTGATGAAAATGGTCATATTTGTTTAGTTCTTTAGTTTTGATTACATGTTATTGATTAGGGTGTCATGTCATCTACCTTCACACAGATATATGATAATATTAGCCGATGACCAAACGATAAAACAGAACCATTGTTTAATTATTGAAAGCATTCCCCTTATTTGAATTATTTAGCTTTTGAGTAACTAAAACTAAGATCCAGGTTTTTAACCACTCAAAGTTTTTCTATTCAGACACTAAGTATTATTCCAGGGTCATGAGTACGTAATAAGAATGTACTTGTTTGGATTACAACTCGTCTAAACGTAATAGAGTCGAACAAAATTAGGGTGACTGCATACTTATCATTCAAGTAATGTAATTAGTAGAAAACTCTGGATAGATTTGCTTATTTTCTTAGCTAAGTGATTTCACAGTGATAGTTTTATTATTAAACAACTCATTTGAAACTTGAAAAGGATTTCAAAAGAAGAGTCCAGTTTTATGGGATGTTTTCAACAGATGTACTATTCCTATCATGACTGCCACAGAGTTCACTTTGAAATGATCCATTCTGTAGGTGAGGATAATATCATAATGCATTTGAAATCATCAGTCAATAATTGTTAGACCACCAGTAGAAACGCGAAAGCACTGGACGGCTGTTTCGTCCTGTTTGCCTTTAGTAGTGAGTGCCTACACCCGACGGGGCTGGACTTGACTAATCACGTCTTTTAACTAGAAGTCCGCGAATTTCTTCACGAAGCTAGTCGCTAGTGAGCCGTCCAGTGCTTTCAGGTTTCTAATAATGGTCTAACAATGGTTGATTGATGATTTCAAATGTGTAAAAAAACACTAATCTCCATAACTCTAGTTGAAAATATCATAATAATTTGGAAAAGTATTTATGGACTGTGTACATATTACAGTTTAATATATTAATCAGAATGTTTTGAATGAAAAAGTATGATATAAATAACGAGTTTATCTTCGAATGTGTTTCCATGAAATGAATTTGTGATATATTATTCAACCTTGTAAACATGAGTGCTAAACCAAAACATGGCACAAATTCATGAAGTTATTGACAACTGGACAGAGTCATTTTGGTAAGTGTAGACGAGAAGAAAGCGACCGATGGTTAGAGATCTTGAACAACATGGCTCAAAATCGTTTACAATGGCGTAGGTGCATCCACTCGTTGTGTTCTATGAAATTCTGATATTCCGAATTCGTCATCACCTTTACCTTTCTCCTTCTACACTTGTCTAACTGAATTATACTTCTTGAATAATATTTTCGAACCCTAATCTTCTGCGTTACCAGTAATGTTTCTACTATCTCTACCATAATGGGATTTGAACTGACAGTTACCTCTTTGTGCTAATGTGGTATGGCAACCTGAAGTTATATACGTGCGTACGAAGTTCTACGTTGTGACTGACTGACTGTAAACATGAGCATAATAGAAACTTTGGAAGTATTCAAGTTGTCAGATAAGTGTATACATCTGTATGGAACTATTATTAAAGCTATGTTTTTACGAATCGATCAAGATGAATAGATAACTTAGGAAAAAATTAACGATCCTTTTTTTCTGAAAATATTGCTGCTTGAAGATACTTTATGCCATAAATTTCTTTCAGATAAACAACCATCAGAAATGAGAGAGTAATGAACAACTGGTTTTTTATAGTAGTATGAAATGTTTTCGTTGGTATGATCCCATGATCCCTTAATGAGATTGAATTGGTAGCATTTTTAATGAAATGCCATATTCTAAGCCAATTAATAACTGCTACCAGTGATATTTGTTTCAATCTTTATGTTTTTTTATAATATATTCTTACTTACGCCTGTTACCCCCAATGGAGTATAGGACGCCCACCAGTCTTCTCCAACGAACTCTGTCCTGGGTTTCCCTTTCCAGTTCTGTCCAGTTTTGTTCATTCTTCTCATATCTTTCTCTATTTCTCGGCTTAATGTGTTCCTTGGCCTTCCTGTTTTCCTTCGAGCTTGAAGACTTCAACACTGAGGGCTTATCTTGTGACGCAGTTTGGTGAAATGTAGATATAACTCAATTGAAATATTCTTATAATCTATTTTCTTAAAATATTCCCCTCTTTTTAAATGAAGATTGATATAATTTCATAGCTGATTTTCTAGCTGCATAATCTAATTCCGCTGGCTGTACACTACAGAAACTTTATTCACTGAATTGAATCGCAGGAATAGTAAAGATAAGAAATTTGTAAGTAAATGAAACTGACTTGTACAGAATATACGATCAATATAATGATCAGACATCTGTAACTGTTAAAACTGATGCCATGTCTTCAAAAGATATCTTACTTACTTACTTACTTACTCACTTACTTACTTACTTACTTACTTACTCACTTACTTACTTACTTACTTACTCACTTACTTACTTACTCACTCACTTACTTACTTACTTACTTACTTACTTACTTACTTACTTACTTACTTACTTACTTACTTACTTACTTACTTACTTACTTACTTACTTACTTACTTACTTACGCCTGTTACCCCCAATCGAGCATATGCCACCCAACAGTTTTCTCCAACGAACTCTGTCATGGGCTTCCCTTTCCAGTTCTCTCCTATTTTTGTTCATTCCTCTCATATCTTTCTGTATTTCTCGGCGTAGTGTGTTCCTTGGCCTTCCTCTTTTCCTTTTTCCTTGAGGGTTCCATGTGAGGGCTTGTCTCGTGATGCAGTTAGACGCTTTTCGTAATTTGTGTCCTATCCACTTGCACCACTTCTTCCTGGAATCTGGTTTGTTCTCTCCCACAGTAAGTTGTTGCTGATAGTGTCTAGCCAATGAATCCGAAGTATTTTGTGCAGACAAGTGTTTACAAATACTTGTATCTTCTGGATGATGGCTTTCTTGGTTCTCCAAGTTTCCGCTCCATATAGTAGAACTGTCTTGACACCGGTCTTCACCTCGAAAGAGTCTGTTAGCTGTCCTTCGTGTACGATTTTGCAGTTGAATCCATCATAAGAGTTCCGTATGAGATCAACTATTTTCTCAGGCACACCGTAGTGTCGAAGAAGCCTCCACAGTGTTTTCCTATCCACGCTATCGAATGCTTTCTCGCAGTCGATGAAGTTGATGTAGAGTGGTGAGTTCCATTCAACTGATTGTTCCACAATGTTCCGTAATGTAACAATTTGGTCAGTACACGATCGATCCTTACGAAATCCGGCCTGTTGGTCCCGTAATTGGGCGTCTACGAAGTCCTTCATTCTGTTTAACAATACCCTGTTGAAGACTTTGCCTGGTATTGAAAGAAGAGTGAAGCCTCTGTAGTTCTCACACTTGCTGACATGGCCTTTCTTTGGTATATATATATATATATATATATATATATATATATATATATATATATTTAGAATATTCTAGGGAAAATAAAAAGATTCAATTTTCAATCTTAATGTATTCTTCCTTTAATTTCAGGTTGTCGTCAACTTGGTGAAAAATGCGACAAAACTGTTCTCCATAGATGTTGTGGTGATACAGTTTGTCATTTATCTTCACCATTTAATGGTAAATGTGTGAAATGTTTGAAAGAAGGTGAACTTTGTATGTCGGATAAAAATTGCTGCTCACGTAAATGTAGTTGGAGCAAGTGTACCAAAGAAAAACATCATTTTTAAATTGATTATTGTTACAATCATTCATACAGTGGAATTAAAAAAAATAATTTAGGATGTTCAGTGTTGTTTGAATGTAACTTTAGTGTGGTGTTTTAGTTAAATTTTAATCAATGAAACTTATATTATGATTTTGTTTCTCGCACTGTTTTAGAAAAAAAAGTATAATCAATCTCATTATTCAAAATCTTTTCTTTCATTTGTGTTTAGAAACTTCTGAAAGTTATTACTGTTTCATCCTAAATAATAAGCAATCTTGATCTCATTTCAAAATTTACTTCTAAATTCAAAGCTAAAAGTGGTTTTCAATTGTCAATTGAAGAATTTTTAAAAAAGTTATTTAATAGGTTTTTAATGGATAATTCAATAAGAAGTTTACTGTTAGCATTGTGATTATGTTGTTTAAAAGATCACTTGAATACAATGTGACCTTGACGGTTGAAAATTATTTGGGGCGGTATATTTGAAATTACTACTTGCATTTGTATAGTTATCTTAATCGATTAAATTGAATATGCCTATCGTTAATCACTTTCTTTATATCACTAGGTTCACGAGTTTTAATGAACTCTAGGGTTTAATTTTGAAAAATTGTAACAAGTTATTGCGATGAATATTTCTATGGAAATCGGTATTTATTAGCTGAATATCATTCAGTTCTTAATGTATTTTACTGCTGTGTGAGGACGATGGGTTTAAAAAAATATGTTAAAAGATTTTATTGAGCATTTGGTAAACTTAATCGAAGAGTCTCATATTAGGACGAAACAGCCGTCCAGTGCTTCCAGCTTTCTTATGTTGGTCTAATAATGATTGATTCATGATATATTAATGGTGAGCGATTAAGTCAAGAAGTACAAGTTGTTTGCTATCTTAATGTGTATGACTGGTTAAATCCCAAAATTATAAAAACACTTTTTATGTTTCAAACTTAACTAAATAAATAATCTTCATTCAAATGACTCATGTTTTTAGCGCTGTGTACTATCGATAAATCGCCGTTATTTATGTTAAAGATGAAGGTCCAAAAATAGGTCACCCTAAGGTCTTCAAACAATTCATCAATTTAAAACGGAGAATACAAATTTCATTCCAACTTCAAAATTACTGTATTTGAAATGATTGTCTATTTTTGAAGTTAATAAGTTTAACCTAAATCTATAAATTAACATATATCTCATTATGTCAATCTTAATATGAACTTTAAAAAAACCAGATCAAACTATTGTAATCAAACTTTTATTGATAAATGATGTGACACTTTTATGATTTTGACATGGTGGAGAAAATTTTTCAACCCAAGTGTAGGATTGTGGTGCAGTTTCGTTCTCTCAGCTGGATGTGTTTTGGTTGTGGAGCTTTCATTGCTCATCTGAACAACATCATAAGCACAAACTTCAGATAGAAGTGAGTATGAACGAGAACACAGGTGGGGCAACCGGATTATAGTTAACGAAAATTACAGAGTTACTAAGTAAAATCGGAAAACCATATCGTAAATCGTTAATTTGCAAAATATCAACCCATCATATCTAACTGGACTGTTCCTGTTGCAAAACATCAATCCATTGTCACTATTCATGATGCGTTTCATACAAATTCCATTGTGTTCTAACTCTTCCTTTCTTGATCTTCCCCCATCTTCTTCTGCCAGACATTACGTTGATACTCACGTCATATACTACTTACAAGTAGCTCGCACCACACTCGAACTGATCCAAATAAAGTTAACACCTATTCAATTTTATTCGAACATGATAAAAATGAAGGCATTCATTTGTGTTTCATGTTAATTGCAATGAGAATTATTAAACTTCAAAAGTTTTTCAAGGTTTCAATTGGTCAGTTAAGATTTGTTTTTAATCAATTGAAAAAGATACTTAATTCTATTGACAGAGGAATCAAATATTCATGATAATTTCCAGCCATATCTCGACGAATAAAGCAACTAATCCAGTTCTGCATCATTCGTCATAGAGTAGTGATTTCACAGACCTACTGCATACTTTAAATGTACTACTGATCTAAACCAAAACTACCGCTCATAGATAATTTATTAGCAAATAATATTAAGTGACTGCAAGTTTAAGCTTTATAATGTTTTGGAAATTTTGGACTACTAGTTCATGATACTCAATGAAAAGGTTTATTCGGTATAAGACTCATTTTTATACATTCTTGAAACCATGAATCGATCAATGTTAGACCACCATTAGAAACCTGGAAGCGCTGGACGGTCGTCAAGCCCTGCCATGGGACTCCTCAGCAGTGCGCATTCACGACTCCTGCAGTTCACAGGATTCGAAACACAGGACCTTCTGTATTGTAGGCGAACGCCTTACCATCGGACCACTGAGCCGATATCTAACGGTGTTAATGTCTAACTTGATCATTTCACGGAGTTGAGCAACCTCATACACAGTCTTCGGTAGACACTGCCTACACCCAAACAGGCTGAACTTCACTGGTCACGTCTTCCCACTAGAACTCGGAGAAGATTCCTCACGAAGCTAGTCACTAGTGAGCACAGTTAATTTGCATTACGGGGTTGTGAAGATTGTTAATTTACACATTTTTGAAACCATGAGTCCCATACCAGGACGAAACGGCCGTCTTTCAGTGCTTCCAGGTTTCTAACGGTGGTCTAACGTTGATCGGTTCATGGTTTCAAAAATGTGTAACTTAACAATCTTCACAACCCCGTAATACTCATTTTTATGTCTATTGCATGAATGTAGGCCATTTAATTGATGAGTATTTGATGATTAACTGAGAGGTTGTAGAATGAAAGCCTAGTTTGCCAACATCATAATAGTAATTCTCATAAAGATTAAATTATATCGAGGCTTTTTCATGGATAAAAAAGATATTTTGGTTATTTTCACTAGATTCACTTATAAGTGGTAGTGCTTTTTGAACGCATCTATCTGGAAAAAATGTACAGAACGCAACTGAGGGGAACTATGTATAAATGATTAGCCTCGCTACATTATAAATGTTCTTTCTAAGAATGCTGAAAACTCTAGATGTAGACAAGGTAACCAATATTGTTCATCCTGAAATCTTTTACTTATGAAGTCAGTGTTTACACAAACATATACTAGTCGGAGAACTATTGAAAACCAGTAGCTGCTGAGCAGCGGATTTGTACATTATTTAAAACCTTTACTACCAAACACGAAATTAAGTTCAAAGATCTCATGATTCAGAAATAAAATGACACTTTTAGAGACATAAATCTCTCGCTGTGAATATAAATGAACCCCAAAAATTAACATTTCTTCTGTTAGGAATTAAAAGTTTCAGTAATAGTTCTATATGAGGTCGAGGATAGGCACTATTGTCGTCTTAAATGAACGCAGAATAGTCATAGAGTTCCTCATGGATTCTTGGTGTTTCTTCATAAGCATTCAATTTTTAATGGGACACAAGTTCTATAAAAGTCAATCTATTGATTATAAAGTTCTTGATTTTTTCGTTGTTGATACTGAGTATTGAATTTTATTACGCCTTCATTGATTTACCCATTTCCTGAGCAGATACTTGAATATTGTTTAAGCTAAAAGTTTTATCATATTTTTGGATAATACAGTCCAAGATATAGAGTTTGTATCATTCAAAAAATTTGTGTGAATATATGACTTATTTCGAACACCATCATATAGCTGAATCATTCATTCAATTTCATCTTCTGATTAAGGATTTGAATAACTCTTGATGAAGCAATAAAGTATATTGCATTATGGGGTTGTGAAGATTGTTAAGTTACACATTTGAAATCATGAATCGATCAAAGTTAGACCACCATTAGAAACCTGGAAGCACTGGACGGCCGTTTCGTCCTGGTATGGGTTTCTAATGGTGGTCTAACTTTGATCGATTCATGATTTCAAATGTGTAACTTAACAATCTTCACAACCTCATGTTACAATTACCTGAGCTCACTAGTTACTAGCTCCATCGGGAATATTGTCCGAATTCTAGTGGGAAGTCATGACCAGCGAAGTTCAACCCTGTTCAGGTGTAGACAATGACTAAGAAAGACAGTGTATGAGGTCGCGCAACTTCATGAATTGATCGAAATTAAACATTTACACCGTAAGATACCGGCTCAGTGGTTTAGAGATTAGGCGTTCGCGCGCAAGACCGAAGTTCCTGGATTTCGAATCCGATGAAGTGCATGAGTAGTGGATGCGCTCTGTTGATGAGTAGTCCCATACCAGGACAAAACGGCCTCCAAGTGCTTCCAGATTTCTAATAGAAGTCTAACTTTGATCGATTCATGGTTTCAAATACAGTACATATCTGCTGTTAAATAAGCTTTAATTTTTGTGCTTCAATAAGTTTCATAAAGTTCAAAAGGGAGATTGTACAGATAAGTTTAAGTAATTTATTCTCAGTGCATGCAAAACATGATGAAAGAATTAAGTTGAATTCCGTTTAAATTACAGAATTGAACTGCATCAAAAACACCAGTAATCTATGTATGAAAATAGTTTTCATGTTAAAAGACCTTAAAAATGTTTAACGCTTGTACAATTAGCATAGATGTTTATTTTTAATGCAATAAATTCATTTAATTACCGGAAGTAATTAAATTAGATTTGTATTCACCTAATTTGACAATTCTGATAGTAGTAGATTTGTTTCTGAATAAAAAAGAAATTTATCTGTAGTTATGTTACTGATATTAGTAATATAGGGAGTGAGTGGTCAAATTTGATCTAATTATTAATCATCGTCAAATTAGAATAGAACTCAATTATGATATGGAGTGAGGTATAATTTTAAATTTAAACATTTCATAGACAAGTAGGGTTAGTGTAACTGATGTTGTTTTACTCTAGTGCATTGTTAGGTTGAAAATGAATGTATTTTATGGCTGCTACCTTGACGTGGTGGTCGGGCTTGCCTATCGTGATGACTCAACCAAGCTACATTGGCTGGAACATATGTTCCTAAAGGTTCTACCATGTCAGGCAGGTCGATTGCAGAACGATGAGATTAAAAGCAGCTACTCAATGTCCGAGGGCGAAGTCGTACTGCTGACTGCAGAGGGGTGTGACAGCAGTAAGGTTTTCTCTCATACAACCAGCATCTGCAGCGATGTTGACTTTTCACTAGGAAGGAAGGGGTTAGAAAAGGTCGACCCTAAAAATGTCACACTTCACCCTACCTCACGGATTTCCGTCTCCGGCGGTAAGGGTGCCTACTAAGGGCTTTAAAAAGAGCGGAGCTAACAATCAAAAAGCCTTTAATAAAAAGGCCGTGCGTGACCGGCCTAAAGTAGTTGTCGCTTGGGCTCTGCGGTCACGCTTCCAGGTCGTTAATACCAACACTAATCT